TTTTTTATTTAATGTTATATTAAAAGAAATTTGTCAAATTGTTAAAATTTCTTTATAAGTATATTAATATGATCAGTATACCTCATGTTACCAGTGTTAGATATCTAAGTTGATTCCATTTTTTGTTATCATGAGTAATATTGCAAGAAATACTTTCATAGAAATTTCAGTCTACATTTTGGATTTTTTCTTAAATGGTAAGTTTCTTAAAGGGAATTCCTGGTACAGAGGGCAAAGATGTCTTTAAGAGCCTTGATCACAAGAGATAAAGTTTTAATCATTCTCCTTTCAACTGACTGGTTACCATGAGAGCCAGCATTTGTACTGGTGAGCCCCTTCTGATATTTCTCATTTTTAAATGTTCATGGGGTGGTGAAAAAAACAATGCTTTTGATTCAGAGGGCTCTGAGTGCAAATGTTGGGTTCCCCACCCACTCCTGTGGAACCTCATGCCAGTTAGGTTTTTTTTAATATTCATGATTTTTTTTTCATTTGCCAAGTGGGAATAATAATACCACCTGTCACGTAGGATTGTTAGGAATATTGAATGGGAAAATGTGCATAAAGGACTTGCACGTAACTGGGGCTCTAACAGGGTTATTGTCTTACCACGCAGAGAAGCTGTTTGTCCAAAAGAGGGTGAATTGCTCCCCTGTAGCCTGCTCATGGGAGCGAGGAGATTCCTAGTGGGTCCTTGTGCCCAGGAAAGGAGGAGCAGAAAGGGAGAGGAAGGAGCCTGGGAAGGAGAAAGGAAGATTAGCAGATGCCGAAGGGAAAGGAGGCACCAGGATGGCGGCTGGTGACCTAGAGCACCTGCGGCGGCCCAGGCGCCTTCACTGGCTCCAGAGCAGCAGCCGCAGGCCAGGAAGGGATGCTCGTCTGACCTCTTTTTTGGGGTCTTCAGATGTAAAGCTTGGTTTGTCCGTGTTCAAAATAAGGGTAGTTTCTGTTTCAGCCCACCTTGGTGGGAAGATCATAATTATGAACATCTTGGCGCAGATAATCGTGGTGTGACTGTCATCATTTCAAGAAGCAAAGTGATTTTTGCAATATCACTGAAGAAATAAGTGACAGTGGCATACCTGCACTAATATGCCAAGACGGCAGGTTATTGATTGCCAAATGAGCCATGTGGGAAATTACTGCAAGAGAGTGAGCCTCTCCCCAGTGTGATCAGGAGGGGCTTGAGGAAGTAGGTTGGATTGGAGTTGGGCCCTGTGAGCAAGTCGGGTTAGGCTGACTGGAAGGAGAAATGAGAGTTGCAATGCTGGATAACCAGTGTGAGCAGAGACACGGGCAGGAACGAGCCTGCCAGCTCCTCCTCCTGGCCTCCTTCTGGGCCTCAACCACAGATAGCCCTTCCCGTTCTCATAACTGCGTCACTCGCCTGCTTTGGGCCGTAGGGTCTGATGATGAGGACCATCACTGATGTTATCACAGAAGCTGATATTTATTGAGTACTTACTACATGCCACTCGACTCCAGTCAACTCATTTGACCTCTCAATAACCCTAGAAGGTGTGTGTCCTATTATTACTCCCATTTCACAGATGAGAGAACTGAGGCACAAAAAAGCTATGTTACTTATCCCAGTGAGAGAACTGCAATTCAATGCCAAGCAGGTTGGCTCCAAACTTTGCCCTTTTACTCACGATATCATAATACATCCCGAGATTCAAATACTTAACCTCTCACGTAAGGTTATAGCATCAACCATCCCCATTCCTGTATCTGAGTGCACCATCATCTTCTCTGTAAGGGACCAGTGGGGGAAAGCTAAATCCACCCCCTGCACCCCCGGCGAGATCGCCCACCACAGAGCTTTCGAGCAAGAGCCAGCAGGCCCCAGCCTGGACCCCGACACAGCAGCCCGGAGGGCAGCTACGAAACGGAAGCCTGCACATCATCGGTGAGTGCTGCTAGTGAGCACGTGCTTTCCCCTGGCCTCTGCAGAGAGTTTGCCGGCACAGAGCTGTCATTCCAGGGTGCGTGCTTCTCACTCCAGTGCCGAACAGCCCACGGCCTCTGTTACATAGGGCTTCTCTCAAGGCTTCTTGGGTAGTTCCAGGACCCACTTTCTAGCCTTCTGATTCAGATTAGAGAAAAGAAGAAAACCAGCATTTAAGCTCTGTGTGTGTGTGTGTGTGTGTGTGTGTGTCTGTCTGTCTGTCTGTCTTCATGGGGAAATCAGTGCATAAGCCTGAAAGACTAGACTGACTTGGATAAGGGTAAGGAATAGTTGGAAGGCTCATCAGACAGGGGACCATTAGAGCAAAAATACGGAAGTAGGAAGGAAGGTCACCTGCAGTCAGATGTGAGGCCACAGAATCTTTGGATCCCTTTCGTGTTCTGGGCTGGGGTCAGACACAAGGCCTAGATCACAAAGCAGGGACTCAGCCTATGAAAGGGCCACAAGACCCCTTCCCTCCTGCCAACAGGAGCTCAGGACAGAAGCCATTTGGTGTTGGGAGCCTAGGGCCCACAGGGGACATGGGCGGTGCTCCTCCCTCCAGCCAAGCTGAGGACTCTGTCCCCCTCTTCAGGTACTTCAGGCTGCTGGGACTTTGCTGGTCCCTTGTTAGTACCAGGGTCCCTACCTCTAACTCTGGACCCTGGAGAGCCCTGTGCCACTTCTGCCCCTGTGGCAGCTTCCTTATGGTGTTGGTTGGGGTGCATTGGGCTGGGTGATGGGGAGTGACTGTGGATTCCCCTTTCCTGCTTCCCCTGGTCCCAGCCAACCAGTAAAACAAGAGTGGATGGATGTCTTCAGGGAATGGCCTGCCGTGAAACTCCTTGCTCTGAGCAGGCAAACAGAATTCAGTGTATTCAGTCAGAGTAAACTGTGTGCTCTTGGGTCACAACGGCAACCTGAGTAAACCTTACCATTTCCCGTGTGTGCAGATGACTTTGAGTCCAAATTCACGTTCCATTCTGTGGAAGACTTCCCGCCTCCGGATGAGTATAAACCATGCCAGAAGATTTACCCCAGCAAGATCCCCAGAAGTAAGTACCACCGTGATAAGACCCCCAGATTAGGTGCTCAGTGTGCATTGATTGGTCACAGACTGTCTAAAGATGATGCCATTGTTTGGTTGTGCTACTACAAGAATATAGTGCTGTTCATACTTCTTAAAGTTTCAGAGTATTTATTTGCCCTGATACCTAAGGGTTCATTTAGAGGTTTTTCACAGAACACCAAGGTTAACTGTTTGGCATCAGATTTGGATGGCTAAATTTACCACTCATCCCTCTTCTCTCTGGAGCTTTTGCAAGGGAACTAAACACCCCCAAACAACAACGGAATGAGATACAGGAGCTTTGTATTAATAGCTGGGGAAGAACCTGAAATCTCCCAATCGAGAATACTTGTAAACCACGAAATGGAGAATGTCCTTGGATCAATGATTCTCAACCTTGGCTACACGTTAGAATGACTGAGGCGGCTTTTAAAAAGCCTGAAGGCCAGGCTAGGGTGGGATGCAGATGTCAGTGTTTCTGAAAGCTGCCAGGTGGTTCCAGCGTACAGCCCTGGCTGGGAATCACAGCCCAGGAGAGCTGCTGCCTCCTAATTTCATGGTGTGATCAGGCTCCAGGAGAGGCCTTACCTGGCTTACCTGTTCAGCCTCCAGAGTGGCAGAGGTGGCAGGCCTGTCTGCTAGTTAACAGGAGCTGGTTCCTGTCTGGTGCTGGGCCAGTCCACTTGGGCAGGAGCCAGTAAAAAGGGGACAGAGTCAATGATAGGGGGTGAGGGTCCCATGTGTTCCCACTCCGTAGCCTAACTATGGCCCCCCATCCCAGACATCTGTGGACCAGAGCAGAAAGTCATTAATGTCCAGGGTTAGCCCAAGACCAGGAATCGGGGACCATGCTCTTTGACCTTCTCCTTTCAGAGGGACCTTGGTGAAGTCCCTTATGCAGGACTCAGCTTCCCGCAGAGCAGAGGGAACGAAGCCTGCTCTCTGCTCAGGTAGGGTCCTCCCGGGTCGGCCTGGGCCAGTCTTTCCCTGCCGGCCTGTGGGACTGCACATTTAGAGAGATGTGACCTTGTGTGCTCTGTTAATAATATGTGACTGCCGCTGCTCTGGATTGAGAAGGAGACAGAGGGAGCAGTACAAAGGAGGACGGAAGGAAATCCAGCCACTTGGGGTTTAAATAGCCTGTGAAGACATAGCCCTGGAAGAAGACAGTCCCACTCAATTCAACAAATGTGCACGAACTGCCTGTCATGTGAGCACCGTGAGCCCTGTGAGCACCAGAGGCTGCAAAGTGTAAAAAGCAGGGTCCCCCATACCAAGCACCCAGCGCACACACTCCTGAGAGGGATGCGAGAGAAGCGAGCTGCGATGCGGTGGGAGCGTCCTGATCAATGAGTGCTGAGAGTGCTGGGGGCACTGCGGTGGGCGTGCGGTGGGCGATGGGGGCCACATTGCCACGGTGGTGGGGAGGCATGCGGGCTGAGGACAGGACGAACCCAGGAGACAGCACGATGGTCCCACTGGTGCCTCGGAGCACGAGGTGCCTGGCTGGGTAAGAGTCTGCCAGAGGCTGTAGGTTGGGGGGATGTTAATATAAAACGCCCCTTTCTCTTGTGAAATAGTCACAGGAGTTAGACTGAGGGGTTCAGCAAGAGCGGATTTCCTATTATTATACCCCGGAATTAGGCGCACTTAATCCTTCAGGCAAGGTGACGCACGAATGAGGAAACGGAGGCTGGCCTCCCCTGCAGTCCCAGAGCCGGCCTCACAGGACTTCCCACGTGGCAGGGAGAGCAGAGCAGGGGGCCCCTCCATCAACAGGCGGCCAGGTGTCAGCACGGGCCCTGCAGGACCAGGCTGCACGTGGCCGGTTCCCTCTGAGTAGGGAACACCTCCCTGGGGAGGTGCCTACACACGAACACACGGGGACAAGGACGTAAGTGTGCCTCCTAACGGGAAGGATGCTCTGTCCCTTCTGAGGCATGGAACCTGTACGCAGGGGAAGAACTGTCAGTGAGAACATGAAATGCCAGTTCCATGATGGAGACTGCTGTGGATGCCCTCGTGTGTGCCCGGCACTGTTCTAGGTGCTTGACATGCCTTGTCATTCGTCCTTAATGCAGAGAGTTTACGGACAGGGAAAAGAAGATTCTTAAAAGTCTCTTTCCGCTATTCAGCCTTTCTCAGTAATGCGCTGTGGGGTCCTTTAACCTTCAGATTCAGTAGATTCTAATCTACAGGTAGCTGCGTTTTGAGCCCCTGGTGCCAGTCATCCCTGAGAACGGAAGAAAAGCTAGACCCCTGCACCCCACCACCCCACATAGCTTGCCAAAGATAATCTCCTGATGTTTAGGAAGGAGCAGTAAAAAAATAATCATCATAAACTATTAAATGAACTGACATTGTACAACCTAGAAAGGGCAATTGCAATTTCAAAATGAAGATGCTGTTCTAAGGTTGATGTGGCATCAGTGGACATGAAATACTTCAGCAGCCTCCTAGAAAAATTCAGTGAGCATGTGCCGGCCATCCCTGTGAGCCCTAGAGCAGAACCTTGGTAACTATGTGAGTGTGGGTCCAATACAGGTTCTGCCTGTCTGATTGCATCTCTCCTTAGCAGTTTTCCTCTTTGCTCACTATCGACCTGGTTCCCCAAGGTTAGGGTTCTTCTCTGTCTGGAGACAGTGTCGGTTCCGGCAGATGTGTGTTCTCACGCCCTGAGTAGCAGTGCTCTCTCCTTCGACACACACACAGCACACGAGTACCCTGCTGCATAGCTATTCCATTAGCCATCATTGCTGTCTCCACTCCGCAGCTATTAGCTATTTTCTTTCATTGGTAGGATGATTTTGTCTAGTTTTTACAAATGTTTTTAAATGCATTACGTTCCTAAGTAAGTTCAACACAGAATTACCATATGACCCATCAACTTCACTCCTGAAACACTAGTTGAAAACTAGTGTTCAAACAGAAACTTTCACACAGGATGTTCACAGCAGCACTATTCACAATAGCCAGAAGGCGGAAACCCTGGGGAGTGGATAAACAAAACGGGAGAGAGCCTTACGATGGAACATGATTGGACGAGAGAAAGGAATGGAGTACTGAGACCTGCAACAACGTGGATGAAGCTTGACAACGTTAAGTGGAAGAAGCCAGACACAAAAGACCACATACTGTACGATTCCATTTATATGAAGTGTCCAAAATAGGCAAATCCATAGAGACAGAAAGTAGAGTGGTGGTTTCCGGGGATGCGGGGGAGGAGGGAATAGTGAGCGACTGCTGATGGGTACGAGATTCTGTTTGGAGTGGTGGATGTTTTGGATCTAGAGAGAAGTGATGTTTACATAACATTGTGGATGTAGTAAATGTCACTAATGGTAAATTTTATGTCATGTGTATTTTACCACAATAAAAAGAAGCTGAAAAGAAACCCTATCAGAAGGAACCTTTGGGAAAAATGCATAGGCCACACATATTTATAAACATATGATGGTACAAAGAGTGAAGGCAGCATCCTATTAACAGGCACACTTTGAGGCCCTTACCCAACTGGAGAGATTTAGATAAACAATTCCTCACATGCCCTCAAGAAGTTCACATGGGAGGGGGCCTGTAATCCTAGCACTCTGGGAGGTGGGAGGATTGCTTGAGCTCAGGAGTTCTAGACCAGTCTGAGCAAGAGCGAGACCCCGTCTCTACTAAAAATAGAAAAAATTAGCCGGGCATGGTGGTGCGTGCCTGTAGTCCCAGCTACTCGGGGAGGCTGAGGCAGGAGGATCGCTTGAGCCCAGGAGTTTGAGGTTGCTGTGAGCTAGGCTGACACCACGGCACTCCTCTAGCCCAGGCAACAAAGCGAGACTCTGTCTCAAAAAGAAAAAAGAGAAATAAAGAAATTCACATCATGGTGGAGGAAGCGGGGCAGACAGATACCCAAGCATGCGATTTCATTCTGGTGTTCCCAGCAAAACCATCTCCGTCACAGCCAGTTCAGCAGGAAAGTGGCCAAACTCAAACATGATTGTGTTTGCATCCCAAGTCCTAAAGAACTCCCCACTGCCCTCTTCCCCCAGCCCCTGGCAACACCCTTCTGCTTTCTGTCTCTGTGAATCTGACTACTCTAGGCACCTCGTATGAGTGGAATTATACAGTATTTGCCTTTTTGAGACTGGCTTATTTTACTTAGGTTATGTCCTCAAGGTTCATCCATGTTGTCACATGTGTCAGAATTTCTTTCCTTTTTAAGGCTGAATAATATTCCGTTCTACGGATATACCACATTTTGTTATCCGTTAATCCACTGATGGACACCTGGGCTGCTTCCACCTCTTAACTATTGTGAGTGATGCAGCTATGAACATGATGTACAAATAGCCATTCAAGTCCTTGTTTCCAATACTCAGAAATAGACTTGCTGGATCATATGGTAATTCTATTTTGATTTTTTTGAGGAAACTCCATACGGTTTTCCATAGCTGCTGCACTTTTTACATTTCTGCTAACAGTGTGCATGGGTTTCAGTTTTTCCACGTCCTCTCCAATATTTGTTATTTTTTATTTTATCTTACCTTATTTTTATTTTATAGTAGCCATTCTTGGACATGAGGTGGTATCATTTGGTGATCCTAGTCCTACTTTAAAATAGTTACTTTGCACTTACAGTAAAACTAGCCGCCATTATTTCCGTTAGCAGTGAAACTTCTTCACCAGGCACTGCAATAACTTTAACAGTATTGGGTAGTTTGTGTCATAAAAATCAAAGGATTAGATGTCCCAAGACTGAGAGAACCTGCAGACAAAACACACTGCCAGCAGGAGAGTATTTATTTCCGCCTTTGCGGAGGGCGGTGGGAGGCTGAGCACCTCTGCCCCTGCGAGCCTGATTATGAGCACTGACCACACCCCTCCTAAGCTGTCTCCCAGCATCCCACTCTTTCACCACGACTGCTGTCTTCCCAGGACACTCCTTAGTTTCTCTGAACCTGTGAAGGTGCTGTCGCGTATAAACTGCCTCCCTCCGCCTGC